TCTTTGAGTACTTCCTTGCTGACTGCCACATTCGATTTGCCTACTGTTGTTGAATTAGCTGCTTATTATCTCTCTCGCAGGGAAAGTGAGGGTCTATTCCAATATGGGAACTACCGAAAAGAGGCAGATGACTTGCGCTCTGTAGTATCTTATTTCTCAGAACAGAAGTATGACATAATTGCCCTTGTTGGGCATAGCAAAGGTAGATAATCTTCGGTCATATTTTTTATTGAAAGGACTGCACCCTGATTTCATTAATGAAAGCATAGAAGTTCATTACAAGGTTTACTGGAAGGGAAAATAATATTGTTATGCAGCTCATCAGATAGCCCATTCCCAACTTCCCTAATACAGATGGAAAATAATAGATCCTTCATATCCATCAGAGCCCCAGAACTGAGATTGTCCTGGTTTTTTCTTGGCCTGCGACAGAGTTTGATTACTGAGATACTTTTTCTGCAGTAAGCCCTGCCACACACCATCCTCATGTTCCAGCTTCCAAAGCCAATTAACCAGCAGTCTAATGTACATTAATTACAATTTAAGAACACACAGCCCTCCCATCCTTTGATAAACAAATAGTTTTCCAGTTTACCAAATGATGTTTCCTGGACCCAAGATCTTCCTGCTATAAAAGCTTCTTCATAAAGTAGCTCAACTCTTTTTCCACTCCCTTAGGAAAATTATAGAAGGATGTCATATAAATTGGAATGGCCCTGTGTGCACATATCACACACAAGCGCTAGCTGCATTAGAATGCATAGTCGACATAAATAGGTGGTAGGAACTCATAATTGGTGTACTGCTTTCTGTGTTTGCTGCCTTCTGAATGGACCTCTACAATGTAGTCATGTATAACTGAATGTAATCACAGAATATTTACATGTGCCATGCATTATATCCTGATCTCCTTGCTTTGTCGTGTAAATGTACCTGCCTCCTATGCTTTACATGTATGTTACTCCCTCCGTAAACTAATATAAGAGCATTTAGAACACTACTTTAGTGATCTAAACGCTCTTATATTAGTTTACAGAGGGAGTACTTTATACAGTATACTTCTATATTTCACCACTTCTGTTTCTTGCTTTTAGGAGGAAATGCTGTGCTTTTATATGCTTCCATGTACCATGATGTTACTGTCATTGTGAATATTTCTGGCCGCTTTGCTTTAGAGCAAGGTATGGAAGGGCGGCTGGGGAAGAATTTCCTGCAGAGGATAAAGAAAGATGGATACATAGACGTCAGAAATAAAAAAGGTGTAAGTTTGCTGCATTTAACATGTCATTATTTTGTTAAGTACTAAAGATTAAGCCTCACATGGTATTTATTTTTATAAAATACTACAGATCTGAAGCCTAGCACATGTTTATGAATCAAACAAACTTTTCCCGAGTTTTCCAAGTAAAATGTTTTTGTGCTGATTCTGGTAGTGTATATCACAAGCTTTTTCAGTTTATCTGGTGAAACCAGTTAACAAGATCAGGTTATGACCTGTGGTATGGGATGACTTACAATACATGAGAATCCATTGAATTGGACAGTTTAGTCAGTTATTTGTATGCTTCGTCATCCTTATGTCAACCATAGGCGGTATAATTATTTTGTTTCTCTGCTTATATCCATAGACTGAATGTGCAAAATATTGTAACTGAAAGATTTATTCTGAAAATGACAGCCCCAGTGTTATGCTTACTTACTTTATTGCAATATTATCATTTCTATGCCTTTGTGCAGGGAAGTTTGAGTACCGGGTGACAGAAGAAAGTCTGCGAGATCGTCTGAGTACTGACACCCTGCTATCGAGCCGCTCCATAAGCAAAGACTGCAGGTTCTAAGCTGCTCTCTTGCACCTGAACCAACTCACGTGAACAACCCAATCATTGAGAAAAATATGCACCGATCTGCAGGGTTCTCACGGTTCACGGCTCTGAAGATGAAACAGTCCCAGCGAGAGACGCCCTGATGTTTGCTGCGCACATCCCAAACCATGACTTGCACATAGTCGTGGGAGCCAACCATCGGTACACAGGCCACGAGCAAGAGCTGACATCACTTGTACTGGATTTCATCAAGCCCCGTCCTCGAAAATCATCGTCCTTGCGTCCGAAATTGTGATCATCTGACCATTGTGGGGCTTGATTGATGTACCATTTACTTGTTACATTACCGGATGACAAAAGGCCTGTGTATAGTCGTTGTGCTGTGCTGCACTAATTTCAGTAAGATTTCTTCATCTTACATCTTCTGAACGCAGAAAGAAGCTCGAACTAGTTATCATTTCTAAAAATAGGAAATGTGCGAATTGGGCAATATCGCAAAATTAGTAGTCATGTGAAATTGATTGCTAAGGTGAAAGCAGCACTGAAGCCATCTTCTTACAGGCTTGTAATGAAAGTTCATCTAATATGTGTGCTGTAGGGTTGCTGCATTTGCGAATTGGTGAAGAACATTCTGCACATTCGGCAGCACAAGACATTGGCATTATCAATAAACTCCGGGACTAACAAAGCAGGGACCTGACAAGGCTGCGATGAACTTGCAACCCTCAAGAGTAGGCTCTCTTTTTCTTCTGCACTTCAACCATTCTGCAGGACGAACCAAGGGGAAAAAATCCATGCAATTCTAGGAAAGACTTTCATCTGAAGAACTTCTAGTAAAGACTATGATGCATCTTAAAAGAGCAAATAAAAGGACTGAAAAGGTTATGAGACATGAATACATGATGGTTTCACGACGCCAAGTCTGTTTTAGTCTTTTAACACTCTTGGCCTCCTTTTGCCTGTTCTCGCATTCTTTCTGAATTTTGAAGAAATAAACTGGGACAAAACTTATCTCGCATCTCATAGAGGAAAAGAAACTAAGCCAGAAGAGTTGCAGCAACCACTGTTTCACCTAAAAAATAATTCTATCACGAGGAAAACTCAAAAATCAGGACCAAAAGAACTTGCAAATCCAGAAACCCATTATTAACTGATACAGATCAAATGATACCGAAATCTAGACGTTACTTTTCCATTCCTTTCAATTCGGATGATTAGATGACACTCAAAAAGGCGCAAGCATGGTAATCAGCTCCTTCATGACGGAGGGGTGGTTCCTGATGAGATCGTCGAAGCCATCCGTGGCCGCGACAGCCCTCAGGTTTCCCAGCGTGCCCAGGAAAGCGTAGCACGCTTTCTTCAGCCCGTCACAGCAGTGTTGCTCAGCTAGTGACAGGATGGCGGCCGTGCTGTTCACCTCGATGAACCCGCACAGCTTATCTTCACAAATGAGCTTCAGCCGCTGCATATCGTACCTATCCGCCGCGGCGAGCAGGTGCTGCCACTGCCACATCGCGTCCTCATCGTCGTCCTTGTGATCTATCTCCGGCTCAGAGTCATTGTAGATGAACTCAAGCATCGCCCTGAAAACTTGAGGCTCCATGTCCTCCACATGTATGGTGTGGCCAGCTGCCGTGCTCTCCTTCATCGGGCCAAAGAGCTCGGCCTTGAAGACCCTGGACCGGGCCGCGAGGACGCACCGGTGTGCGGCAATTGTCTCCCCACCAATTTCGAACGTCACGTCGGCGCCTTCCTCGTCCTTGAGGAGATCGGTGAAGTGCCTCTGCATGTCGGGCGGTGGCACCATAACGAACGGCGAGGCGGCGCCAGTAACCTTGGCGTCGAGGACAAGCACATCGCACCGGAGGGTGAAACTATCGTCCTTGAGATGTTCCGAGTATTCGAACTCGTCCCTGCTTATGAAATTCAGGTAGGACATACCGGCAGATTTGCAAGGGAACTCGCATACTTCAGTCAAGCCAATGTATGTTGACTCCTGCTTGTCGGACTGGCCAATGAAGCTCATCACGAACTGCGCCTTGACAGGCTTCTCAACATCCGGGGCGAGGATGAGGGAGGCAGACGTACTGCCGGGCCTGGCCGACGACGAGCCGTTGGGGTAGTACTTGAGGAACCAGAGATACCCTCCGACTCTGAAGAGGCCAGACTCGACGTGATGGCCGTGGGGGGCGTCGGCCTTTGTGCGCGAGTAGCCTTCCACCACGAGCAGGTGGTACCCGCCCGCGGCGCCGGGGTCGTTGATGGCCGCCGCGGAAGGGCATAGTCTGCCGTCGCGGATCAAGGATACGCCGGCGAATGACATGGCGACTCTGATCTATTCCGCCACTATGTACGTTCTGGTGGCGGTTGTTTGGATCCGGTAGTTTTGCTAAACCTCGTTTACGGTTAACAAACAGTTTTGCTAAAGCACTGCAACGCCTAGTTCTCGTAAAACTGGAAAAGTAGTAGGTAAATCGACAATTAGACATTTTTTATATAAATAAATTAAGACCAACTCAAACCAAACGGACGTCCGTTTGGATCGGCAAAAAGACACGAGCGTCCGCCTACCGTCGTCCGCCGGTTGGTGCGTCTAATCGGCCGCTGCATTTCAGTGTGAAAACAGAGCTGGCAATGCTGCCATTAAGAGCATCTCTAGCCGTTAGCCTTTCAGGAGGCATAAAAATCGCCGCCTGGGGACGAACCGGCAGTATAATCGGCTCTGGGGGCGATTGGGTACCCAGCCGTAGCCCTCAGGCGCCGATATCGGTCCATTTTTGGTGCAAATGTGGCCGCTTTTTGGCCCACTTTTGGTGAAAAATTTGCCCGATATCTACGCAAATCGGCTCATATTCGCCGTGGTTCAGCGTGAATTCAGCATAAGTAATCTTTTTTATCACATAGTTCATCACAGAAAAGCAATAGAAATTGAATAGCTCAACAACAAATAGTTCAATATAAATAATATAGTTCAACAAATAAAAACTCATATTTCATCACTCTTTTCCGGTGGGGAATGGCCTATCTAGCGGTGATGGGCGGTGGGCGGCGCCGGGATAGGCAGGGTGGTGGCGAGCGCCGGGGGGGGGGGTGTGGGCAGTCGTGTTTTCCCCTAGCGCCGGAGCCCCCGAGCGCCCCCAGTGCGTTGGGTTCGGCCAGCGATCACCGGGCCAAAAAACGGACCGAGCCGACGGATTTCGACGTCTTGGGGGTGTGAGTGGTTTTTTTTTTCCGGCGCCGGCGCGTAAAAAAACACCCTAGGGGTCCTGTTGGGGACGCGGCTGGAGATGCTCTAATGGTTGAAGGAGGATCCATCGGCCCAACCAAGCTTGCATTGTGAAATCAGCCTAAGACCGTGTATGTGTTTATGTATAATCCTAGTAGCTAGGCATGAAGGGTTTAACTTATATCTATGCACTGCTTCAAATATGTGTGCCGCAAGGTTACTGCATTTACGAATTGGTGAATAACATTCTACACGTTTGGCAGCACACATCATTCTTTGCATTTTCTCTGAATAGAACCGAAAACTTATGTTGCATCTCATTATATAGGGCAAAAGAAACTAAGCAAGATGACTTGCCGCACACAATGTTTCACCAAAAGAACTCTATCATGAGAAAAAGAAAAACAGGACCAGAGAAGTTGCAAGTCCAGTAACCCATTTTTAACCGGCAGAGACCAAACATAATGAAATCTAGACGATTGCTTTTTTCCGTTCCTTTACATTCGAATGTATAGATGATACTAAACCAAGAAGCCATGAACTAGGGCGCAAGCATGGCGATCAGCTCCTTCATGACGGAGGGGTGGCTCGTAATCAAATTGTCGAACCCATCAGTGGTTGTGACAGCCCTGAGATTGCCGGGCGCGCCCAGAAAATTATAGCAGGCCTTCCTCAGCCCGTCACAGTGGTGGTTCTCAGCTAATTCCAGGATGGTCGTCGTGGTGTTCACACCAATGAACCCGCATATCTTAGCTTCACATATGAGCTTCAGCCGCTGCAGATCGTACCTATCCGCCGCGACGAGCAGCTGCGGCCACTACCGTTAGCAATGGCAAAGAAGTAAGCCATGGGAGGGTCGCCTTTTAGGGTCCAGTTAATAGTGCCTTTCTGCCTCCAGTAAACCTCGGCCCGACGATGCAACTGCATCAAGGCCTCTTCAAGGGAATATCGCACCTGCCATTCGTGGTCAGAGAGGCCAAGGCCATCAGCCCGCAGATCAAGAGAGCCAATTTGGCCACAGCTTCGTGGCCTCGTTCATGCGATCATCCAGGGTTTCTGCTTGGGACTGTTGTCATCTCACGGCTGAACTATATTGTTCTTACTCTCATTACTAAAGTCAAATGGGCTGACAAGATCATGCAGTTTAGACCAATCGTTAACAACTTTGCTAAATTCCCGGCAAAAGGCTTTGCCACTCGTCTCCCCCGCGCATCGGACCCTCAGTCCTTTTCAGTCGGCTTTTGTTAAGGGCCGGTTCATCTTGGATGGCATTCTGTTCCTTCACGAGATTGTTCATGATATTCGCACACAAGGCACTAAGGCGATTATTCTCAAGCTAGATTTTGAGAAGGCCTATGATTCAGTTAGCTGGAATTTCTGACGGCATGTGTTGCTAGCCAAGGGCTTTGATGGGGCCGTAGTTCACAGGCTCATGCAGTTGGTCACGGGCGGCCACACTGCGGTTTCGGTCAATGGGAAAATCAGCAAATTCTTCGCCAACGGTAGGGGCCTGAGGCAGGGCGACCCGGTCTCCCCTCTGTTATTCAACTTCGTTGATGATTCCCTGTCTCACATCATGTCGCAGGCGGCGGTGGCTGGACATATTACCCCGGTTAGTTCTCACCTCGTTCCTAATGGCATAACTCACCTACAGTACGCGGACGACACCATTATTGTGGTTGAACTCAATGATGAGAGTGTTGCTCATTTGAAGTTCCTACTGTTATGCTTCGAAGCCTTATCTGGGCTCAACATCAATTTTTCCAAGAGTGAAGTTATTGTTACTGGGGTCTCGGATGCCGAGGCCCTTAGGGTCGCGAAACTCTTAAACTGCTTTATTGGCTCTTTCCCTTTCAAGTATCTTGGTCTCCCTATATCTCCTGAAAAACTATTGGCGAGAGATTTCGCCCCGGCTGTCACGAAGGTGGGCAATCGGGTTATGCCTTGGAGAGGTCGGTACAACACTCAAGCAGGCAAGGTTTCCCTTATCAATGCCTGCCTCTCCTCCCTTCCCATGTTTTTAATGGGATTCTACCTTCTTTCTGGAGGGATTCATGCAAGTTTTGACA